CGCAGGCAGGAAGACGACACACCACAACAACCAGAGCCTCCTAATGCGCGAGTGAGGGGGGGCGCCGCGGAGCCCGGCCTTATATGTGCCGACGCTGGGCCCCGCCCCAGAGACCCGCCCCCCGCGCCGCGCAGGCCAGTCAGAAGCCCGGAGAGCCGCGGCCGCGCCTCATATTCATGAGCTGGGGGGCCGGGCCTGTCCCGGCCCCGCCCTCCCCCGCGCGCCGCCGCCGGGCACAGTGATTGGCTGGGATGTTCCCAGTCCGCAGTCCTCCGCCCGCGTGCGCGGGGGCGTGGCCAGCGCACCGCGGGGCGGGGCTGACCCACTTCCCGGTGCCCGCCCTCTGGCCTGCGGCGGGGAACAAAGGAGCTTCTGGCCGCTGCTTGCAGGTGCTCCAGCCTGGTGGGGACCCTGACCTTTGCTGTGCCCCAGCGATCCCGACATGCGGTCCTTGCCCAGATCGCCATGCCCACCCAAGCCCCGGCTCTCAGACACCCCAACTTTATCTGAAACTTGACATCTGTCCTGACATGCTTTCCAACATAACCGACACTCCAGTTCTCCCAAGACCCCAACACTCAATTTCATGCAATCATCCCCAGTGCCTCCCCAAACCCCAACATTGAGACAACCCCATTTATGTGAACCCCAATATTCGCCAGAATCCCAATTCTATTTCCCAACATTTTGGGGCACCCCAACTTCACCCAACCAAGTTTGCCTACAAACCTAACCTGAACCTTGACCTCGTCAGGTGCATCACTCACACCCCAACGTTCACCAGGCCGGATACTGTTGTGCATCCAGGTCCCGTAGGCTGCCACCTACCTGGGCACTGGGCTCTCCCCTGCACCCAACATGCAGCTCATCCCTTGGCCTCCCCTCCCACCATGCACCCCAGTCCCAGCCACCCCACGGTTCTGCACACCAACAACACACTCTTCCCCCACCGGGAAGCCAGCGCCCACTCAGCACCTCCACCCGGGTCTTTTCCTCCCAGAAAGAAATAAGGCATGGGGGGGGGCTCTATAGCCACCACTTGCGCCTTGCTCAGGCCTCAGCTCCTGCTGCCTCCCACCCCACCCTGGCTGGAGAAGCCAGAGCGGACCCCTGCCTGTCCAGACCTAGACTCAACTATAGCTCTGCCCCAGTTTTTTTTTTTTTTTTTCTTTTTTTCCTTTTTTTTTTTTTTTAAGACCGGTAACGGGATCGCAACCCCCGGTGTCGCGCCCATACCGCGACCGGCAACGGGATCGCAACCCTCGGTGTCGAGTCCGCACCGCGCTCAACCAGTGAGCGGACCGGTCTCTACATGGGATCCGAACCCTCAGCGGGAGCGCTACTGCGCTCCCAAGCGCCCCCAAGCGCCGCACTCTACCAGTGCGCCACCGGGCCGGCCCTCTGCCCCAGTTTTGAGTACAGACCCTTTGTGGGGGAGTTGGGAAACAGAGACCTCCGTGTTGCCGCTCACCCCAGAGAAGTCCCAGCCCCATTCCGGGCCTCAGACTCACTCCCACCCTCAGGTGGGTCGAACTGACCAAATAGGGACGTGGGCAGGCAAACTGTCTCCAGTGACAAGGTCTCCACGAGCCCTCACCGGCTCAAGGACCCCCTGTCCCAGGAAGAAGGTGCGTGACTCACTGACACCCCCTGTGTCTCGTCCCCCCGACATCACAGCACCCCGTCCCCGTCAGCACCGGGCTGCTGCTGCGTCAGCCACTCACGCAGGGTGGTTATTAAAAGGAGCAGAGAGACTTCAGCGCTCAGCTCCCCTGCACCCGCCCGCCCACCGGAGAGTCCTAGACCAGGGGCGGGCATGCCCAGCCCAGGAGCACTTCGGGCCCACCCTTTCCGATCTGCTACTCCCGCAGAGTCGGGGCGGCGTGGGGGTGTGGCTGCCTCCTCGTCCCAGAGCAGCCCAGGGGGTCCCCGTAATCACAGAGGCGCCTGGGTCATTCTGGGCCCCCCTCCCCACTGTCGCCTGGTTCCCAGTCTTTGCCTTTTCCTGGTTTTGTGAAGTGCTCTGTGTTCGTTCATTCATTCATTCCGCCAGCACCTAGTTATTAGGCGTTTACTACAGGCCCTTTCCTGGGTACCGAGCTCCACGAGCGCCCAGGCCCCCTGGATTCCCAGGATGGCACGGACGCGTCACTGCGGATAGCCGTGGCGACGTGCGCCCGCGCCCGGGCAGGTGTGCTTAGCTCTCAGGTATGTACCTGTTGCCGTACCTGTGTCCCTGTGCAGCCATGACCCTGTGTCCCCATGGCGGGTGGCTCTCGGCGACTGCGCTCCCAAGCGCCCCCAAGCGCCGCACTCTACCAGTGCGCCACCGGGCCGGCCCTCTGCCCCAGTTTTGAGTACAGACCCTTTGTGGGGGAGTTGGGAAACAGAGACCTCCGTGTTGCCGCTCACCCCAGAGAAGTCCCAGCCCCATTCCGGGCCTCAGACTCACTCCCACCCTCAGGTGGGTCGAACTGACCAAATAGGGACGTGGGCAGGCAAACTGTCTCCAGTGACAAGGTCTCCACGAGCCCTCACCGGCTCAAGGACCCCCTGTCCCAGGAAGAAGGTGCGTGACTCACTGACACCCCCTGTGTCTCGTCCCCCCGACATCACAGCACCCCGTCCCCGTCAGCACCAGGCTGCTGCTGCGTCAGCCACTCACGCAGGGTGGTTATTAAAAGGAGCAGAGAGACTTCAGCGCTCAGCTCCCCTGCACCCGCCCGCCCACCGGAGAGTCCTAGACCAGGGGCGGGCATGCCCAGCCCAGGAGCACTTCGGGCCCACCCTTTCCGATCTGCTACTCCCGCAGAGTCGGGGCGGCGTGGGGGTGTGGCTGCCTCCTCGTCCCAGAGCAGCCCAGGGGGTCCCCGTAATCACAGAGGCGCCTGGGTCATTCTGGGCCCCCCTCCCCACTGTCGCCTGGTTCCCAGTCTTTGCCTTTTCCTGGTTTTGTGAAGTGCTCTGTGTTCGTTCATTCATTCATTCCGCCAGCACCTAGTTATTAGGCGTTTACTACAGGCCCTTTCCTGGGTACCGAGCTCCACGAGCGCCCAGGCCCCCTGGATTCCCAGGATGGCACGGACGCGTCACTGCGGATAGCCGTGGCGACGTGCGCCCGCGCCCGGGCAGGTGTGCTTAGCTCTCAGGTATGTACCTGTTGCCGTACCTGTGTCCCTGTGCAGCCATGACCCTGTGTCCCCATGGCGGGTGGCTCTCGGCGGCTGGGACCCACTTCCGTGTCACCTCTGCTGCGGCCGGAGCAC